TCAATCGGCTTCGCCTTGTGATTTATCCTTCCGTCACCACATCCAATTTTGTCCAATCATGCAATTGTATTTTCAGTCGCGCCACCTTAATTCAAATCTCGTCACATTCGAGCAGCCATTGGCGTCGCCTTTTGGGTTTTCCCTCTCGGCACATTCAAATTTTTCATTGTATTGGGTAATGCATAGGAACCGAATGTATGAATGTTCGTGCAGAAGGGGAGTTTTGCCGGACCAAAGAATTGACAACATTCAATGTCGGAATCACAAAGCACACAGTGCGGAGGGCCAGACGGGCCATCAAATGTATAAAGAGGCCCGTGTGCTGTATTTTGCTCTCTGTGACGCCTCACAACATTCAAAGTGAAAATGCATAGATGATTGTAGACGACGGGGGAGGTTCGAGAGAGAGGCAGAAAAGCATAGAGTTAGTTCGAGTCCGGATGCATCCGAGTATGCGGGCAGAACATCACACCACACAAGGCACAAAATGACGAAAGCGAGATATTCAATCACGAAACAGGCGCCCCAACAACGGGGACGTTCGTGATAATTGAAATCCAATGAGAAAGAACAATATTGTCGACGACAAACACGCCGGGGACATGACAAGTTCACCCGGAGATTTCCTGGCAGTGACAGTCAGTTCTGCTCTGAACCAAACCGAGAACACCCACCAGTCCCTCACGGAAAAAATGAAAAGGAACAAATTTCGTCCAGAGAAGAACGAAATGTTTTTCTACGTCAACCCTTCTACACTACATGATCAACAAAGAGATAGACGCTTACCTTCCAACATCGCAAATCGCCAAAGCTAGTCTAACTCTGATAGAGGAGATGTGTCTATGGGAGAAACCAAAAGGTGGATGTAAACCCCTCGCCAAACAGGAAGCGAACATCAACATGAACACCCCAAAACTAGCCCCGTCGTGCTGCCGAGGGACACCTTTCACGCTAACCTCGCGAGCGAAGTGGTCGAAAGTGCGACCATCACCGGCGGCACCTGCCACCGTGTTCAAAAATTTAACAGTTTTATCCAGAAGTGCAGAGTAGAAGGAATCTTTGGATGATGAGCACGAGAAAGAATCATAGATTTCCAAAACACGTCTAAAGAAGTCAATGGCCAAAAGGCTCCAGTGTTCGCCGTCCTTGTGCACTGGTGCCAAGACGAGGTCATGAGACAAGAGGTCGACATTTTTAACCCATCTAAGAACAGCTACCGGACCTCGCAGAAGCAGTGAAGAGGCGAAGAAGGAGTTAAAGGTGTATGTCTTCATGGTAGCGGCAGTCCGGCCGCAGTCGTCCAGTAGCATCGCCATGTAGAAATTGACAACCTCATCGTTGAGCTCCCCGGATCTATCCACGAGTGCGACGATGTCCTTGACGGATACCTGTAAATTGTGCGACGAAGATAGTGAGCGGCAACCGGGAGCAGATAACGTCTTCAAGGACCGCTCTTCCATCTCGAGGAAACCCTGTTCAACAAACACCCGCAGCACACAGCAAGCACAAAGGACGGGGCACTATGAGAAAATGCCGTCCTAGCGGTCATGGTCCGAGGAACCGCTCTTCTCTCCGCTGCGAGGCTTCTTCTTCTCCCGGCTGCCCTTTTTCCCCTCTCCGCCGCCTGCGTGCCCCGGAGACCGCTGTTTCGTCAAACGCTGTTCACTTCCACCTCCGGTACCTCGTTGCCTGCCGCCTTCACCATCCCCGTTGCCGTCCTTTCCGCGAGACTTGCGCTTCACAACTCCTGCCGGCAGGGTGACCCCAGGCAACTCCCAACTCACTTGCTTAATTGACGGGCTTGACGGAAGGGTGTAGAACGCGGAGGACACTTCCAGCCATTTATTTGACTGCAAGAACTCGAACAACGTGTCCCCGTATTCGCGAAGAGCTGGGTCGTCCTTATTTCCTCGATTGACCTCACTTAGTCTCTCCAATACCGCATCGTAGGCGCGAGATTTAAATGTCTCGAGGTCCCAACGATCGTCATATATCCACCCTCCACTTACGTCCCTCACAGCCACTGCCCATTCGCCTTCGAGAAGGACTGGCTGGAAATGGTCTGGGTGCCACACGATATCATGGCCCCAATCTTCGGCTGTGGAGAAGGTGCGTTTGTCACCCATGTGGAAGGGAGTCGCAGGAGCCTTGAGATGCGGATGGTCCGGAGGAACTGGATGGCCGGGTCGAAGACGTTCGGGCTGCGGTGTGAGACGAATAGGCTCCCCCGGCGAACTCCTCAGACGGGACAACCCACCCCTCTTGACAGGCGCTGAGGAGGACATGGGCGTGGGACCGCCCGAGGTAGGTGTAGCGAGAGGTGTCCCCGGTTTGCATACTGATGGCGACTCTGAAACTTGGGCGTTGAAGATGGCCAATTGCCCGTCCAAATCGAAGAGGTCGTCCTCAACGGTCTCCTCCTGCTCAGTCTCGATATTGAAGTCGTCCTCCTCACCGAATGCCAGCTTGTACTTATCCAAAGTGAAGTCGGCCGGATCGACAACATCCTCGTTAAAAAAAACATATTCCAGCCTCTTAATGAAGCTCACAGCGCCGGCCCGACTCGCTCCGTGGTAGCCTTGGAGGACCGCAATGGCGACTTCCTTCTGCACCACGTACTGCGGGTCAAATCTCAACCTTGGTTGTTCGCCGTAAAGGAAGGAGTAGACCTGGCGCCTTTTCTTCGGAGTCAACTTGAAGAACATGTCCTTGTTCGGGTCATAAACGGGCTCGACCACTACATGGTGGAAATCGCATGGGTAAGCCTTGGACGACACTTCATGGGTGACATACTGCACGGTGTATTCGAGCTGCGTTGTGTCCCCATCCACGGCCAAGACGTGCCTTCCCTGCTGAAGCAGACTCCACACCACCTGCGCGTGCGGCTTGCCCAAGAACAGCACGGCATCCGCCACACCACAGAATAAAAAAAGCTGATTGCACAACTAATTCGGATTTCGCTCGCCGTCCTTGTACAGAGCCCCCCTCTGGGTCAGGTTTCCGATGTCCGCGAAAGTCAAAGACTTGAAAGACTTCTCCTCCACATCCGTGGGTGTCACTTTTTGTTTCCTCCCGAGAGCGGCATCGTCGTCTTCAGCAACAGCTCCCTCGTATACCGGGTGAGTCAGTAGCCGAGGATCCTCGCCTTTGAAAAGGATGTGCATCACATCCGGCTCCTCCCAGACGCTGTTTCTGAACTGATGCGTCTTCTTCGATGCCGTCTTCCGAACCCACTTCCCCGTGTAGCATCGGGTAGCCCCAAGCGCAGACAAACATGTCATGAAGGAGAGGTTCCACAGGCAAGCGACGAATACCACCAATGTCCAGTAGTCCTGACAAACGAAGCCCAGCAACTCACTTAGAGACTCGAATGCCCCAGAGTCCCATTGCGCACGGTCCACAACACAGCACAAGTCGAGCACGCAAGTGTGGGAGCGTAGTTGATGCCCTAGTTTTCCCAGCGCCTCCTTATGATCTCTGGCACTCAATGGGTCGACGTTAAACTGGGCCAGCGTCGTCAAGGCGCTTGTCCTTGTCCACATAATGTTAATGCATTCATCAACGCCCCGAGGGCTTTTTTTGCCTTTGGCGCGATCTCCAGTGATCACCGAAAGGACGACACGCTTCCACTCCGCCGGGAAATGCTGGTCGTTGACGAGGGCCGCCGTTCTCTTGATGTTGTTGTCGTGTTGACACCCGAGAAACTGAGGGCACTTGTTGACGTATGTGGTGTCCGTGAAAATTTTTCTGCTCTCGTTCCAAAGCTTGTCGTCGAGACCTCTGTCCTTGAACTCTTCGAACAATTGTTTCTTGGACCTGAAGAACGTGGAGTTGGCATTCCACTCCCGCTTATCTATTTCCTCGTACTCGAACTCCACGTAGTACCATAGCCTCAGCATAATCCGGTCCATTTTTATTATATCGACCATCTCCTTGACACTGAACTTCCCCTGCTCGGCCAACCTTTTGCTACTCGTTTGAACCCACACGATGTTAAGGTTCAAGACGCCGTTCAACAGCCTTTTCTTCTCGCGGTCCGTCAAGTCCACCAATTCCTTCCAGCAGTGGACATCCGGCTCTAGAACTTGGACGTAGAAAGTTTTCTCCTCCACGCCTTTCTTTGGCTTCCCCCTGCCCTTTTTCAACGACGGGTCATCCACCTTCACATACCAGACGTGTTTCTTCAGCCCCTGGCTGTCAGTCACAGTGGAGAGTCCTGGCTTGGCCACCTCCTTATGGGTGGGCGGCTTTTCAGTCCAACGTCGGCCGTCGGAAGCAAGGAGTTTCCCTTTCGACCACTCCTCATAGAACTTCAACCCCAAAGCTAAGACGGAGTCATCTTCCATGGCCAGCGGGAGGTAGTATCGAAGTTTTTCAGCCCATTCCTTTCTTTTTTTTGCTTCCGTTGACAGGTTCCAGATAGGCGTGTACGGCGTCTTCTTCATTGCCAACGCCATGAACTGCACCCACTTTCGCACTTCGTCCTGTTTCTTCGAGGCATTGTCGAGCACCACACGCGGTTTGCCCTTAATTTTTCAGATATTGCGAATGTCCCGCATAGACAAAACGTGCAAGCGCGGTGGATTCTTCTTGTCTTTCATGTTGTCTTCGCAACTGACATGGGCGTAGCCGTCGAACTCGTCGTCAGGGAAGTAGATCGGTGTGAACGGCCATTTACAAAAGTTGTAGTAATCAAACACGGGATGGTCTTTCACCATCATCGCTGCCCTCGCGTTATGCTGTCCACACACAGGATAATACCAGTATTTCTCCGGGTGTGAGCTGTCGAAGTCRGCAGGCAGCACGCGCACAGCAGGCTCGCCGTTCTCTGGAGGCGCGACGATCGGAGCGAGAATGAAAATGGGCTTCGTGTATCTCATGTCTTTACGTTCGTAGCAGTCGATCATAGCCGACGTGATGGTATCAACGAGGAACTCGTCCAAGGATCTGTGGTTGTACGCATCTTCCCAGTCTGGAATAGCTAATATTCTTTCGGGATGGATGTCCAACAGGACGTCCTTCTGCACCCCTGTCTGCATCTCGAGGAAGAACGCATTGTCGAGGTTAAAGACGTTGAGGTTAATCTCCACATCATCATCCCCCTCCCCGTTGTCGCCCTCGTCTGCTTTTTTCCCCCTTAATGATTTCGCCCTTTTCCCGGAAGACTCACCGGTTCTTTGCTGTGTCGACGAGTCTTTTGGCGTTTCATCCCCACCTCCAACCCTTTTCCTCTTCTCAACGGAACCTCCCTCTCGTGTTGTTGGCGTCCGAGCACTCCCTCCTACCTTTCTCTGCCTTCTCAGAGCACCTAGTCCCTCTCGCTCTTTCTCATCCGGCAAGTTGCGCTTGCCTCCCGACTGAGTCTTTTCAGTCGATCTCTCACGGAACAGTCCCTGCTCGGACACCTCCTCCTCACCGGCGACGTTCCCACTTGCTTCTTGTTTCTGGCTCAACTCCGTCTGCAGTTCCCCCGACGCCGGTCGGGCCCGGCGAGTCGTCTCATCTGATCCACGCACCTCTCGAACCTGTGGACCACCCGCTCGATCTCCAGGCGAAACCTCGGCCACCTGCATGCCACGAACGAATGAACCGATCCTTTCGACCAGACCATGAGGAGTCGTCGATTATGAGCCCTGTCGCAACCATTCGCCATCGCCGCCTCCATGTGGCGTCGACTCCCCAAGCAAACCGTGATGGCGAGATACATGCAAGCCCGGTTTCAAAGGAGCATGCGGATGGTCGTCCTCCGAGTCGTCTGACATGTCCACCTCTTGATCAGGAGGCGTAGCTGGCAGGCCACCCTGACTTCCCATCTCCCTTTCAAAGCACTCTCCTCCCGCGAACCCAACAGGACCACTGATCGATGTTCCAGGTCCGACGTCCACGACATTGACAAAGGTACTAGATTTCGCCCAGACCTCGAGGAAGTCTGTGACGTGAACGGCCTCGTCGTGCCCCAGCGCTAGCGGGAGAAAGTGAGGCAAAGACATCGCACGACGGCCGTACCCGCGGAACATCCTCCCGGCAACCCTACATCCCTTTGCGATGTCGTCGACAGAACCATCACTTCTGTAATGCTTCTTCAACGTAAACTTGAAATTGTATTCGCCATCGTCGACCCACTGGACGATGGACCCTGAGAGACGCGTTCTGTCGGCGCGAACGGCGACGAACAAGAGTGGCCCGCACGGTGGTTGCAACGGGCCGGAGCCATCCTGGCTCGCCCAGTCCAAATACCAGACGCGTTTGCTGTAGTCGCACCACAAGTTTTGAGCACGTCGTTCTTCCTCCCCACCTCCAACTCCCCGACTCGTTTCCCTTATCGGTGACGACGTCGTCCCTCGACGCTCTTCTCCGTGCGGGGCGGAACCACCAGCGGAGCGGCCTCGTCCGTGTGAAGCCATTCCCTGAAACACACGGAGGAAATAAACCCACATTCACTCAGAACAGTCAGCACGTCCCAACATCAACCACGACCCATAACACGTATTCTGTTATCGGTCACCCGGAATCCAAAAGAACGAATTTCAGTCATAGTTAGACGACAGTGGTCCACAAGCCTGCACGTTTCGGATGAATCCGAGGCATCGTGAGCCATCCTCGTCACACTGCCCTTAAGAGAATTAATGGTTGAAAACGAAGACCATGGGATAGATCGGATACATCCGAAGCAGGCGCAGTCGAAAAACCGATGTCGCATAGGCACCTGCACCGGGAAAAGCAACACCTCGCAAGAAGGCCCTAGATCGCTGATACGACAGACGAAGACGAATACGTTGTCATCCGAAGTCGACAAGTGGATTGTAAAGTCCTCCATTGTAGTTCAGATGAATCCGAGCTCCAAAGCGGTGTGGACCTCCCCCTGTCGGCCCGTACCGACTTGAGTTTTCTTGTCCTTCTGAGTCGGTAACGGTTGTGACTCGGATGCATCCGAATTCGAACAGCGCCGTCCAGAGACGGTCGTCCACAAGAGGTCATCTACAACACGTGTTTTCGTCACCGACCTGCGAGCACTGGGTTAACCCTATCCTGCCGGAGGTTCGGTTCGGTTGAACCTGAACTTCGCAAATGTGGCTCGGATTAATCTGAGACGGGGACCGGCGGATGGACCCCACGGTCTGTTGACGCCCATCCAGCCATCCAAGCTTCCGTTATTACCCAGTTGTCGTCGGGTCCAACCGAATTTCGCACGGTGTGTCTTCGTCCTTGAGTGTTTAAGACGGGTATGGCTCAGATTTATCCGATTTCGACAGAGGCTGTCCCGATACGTGCGACCACGACAGGCTGCGCCGACACCGTGTGCTTTCGACGTACAAGTTTATCAGACCGTGCGACGTCGTCAATACCCTTTGCGCATGTGGTAAATCCGAAAATGCCACCGGTGTGGTTCGGATTAATCCAACTTGACCGAGGCGCTTCGCTTTGTTGTCGCCCCACCACACACCAGACCTCCCCGCGATTGCCATAGTGTGTCATTATAATCTGTGCGTCATCACAGGGGATATCGTCATCGTCGTAAGTTTTAGTTGGTTGTTGCTCGCCCAATCCAAACAACAGACACGTTTGCTGTAGTCGCAGCACAAGTTTCTAGCTCGTCTTTCTTCCACCGAGCATAACCATCTCGACTCGTTTTAGTTGCATGAATCCGAGGCAGCTTTCTGGAAGATGAAGACAACGTGGTAGTTCGGACACATCCGAACTGGGCAGAGTCGAAAGACCGACGTTGTGACTCGGATCCAAATTAGGCCGACCACAAGAGGAGGACATCGGCACGGCGTGTTTTCCTCAATGACTTGTGAGCAGAGGGTGGACCATATCCTGTCGAAGGTGTGGTTCGGATTAATCCGAGACGGAATGGTCTTTTGACAGCGTGTGATTTCGTCGTTCACGTGTATCGGAACGTGTGGCGTCGTAAATACCGTCTGAGCATGTGACAAATCCAAATTTGTCGTCAATGTGGTTCGGATTAATCCGAACTTCGTCGAGGTGCCTCGGTTAGTGGTCGCCCCGTGAGTTTTAGTGGGTTGTGACTTTATGCAACCGAAATTAACAAGGGTTGCTCGGATATGTCAGTTGTTGCGCCACCACAAGATGGTATGGACAGGGTGGGCTGTCGTCCTCCTGGTTGGTCAAACATGTCGCCGTCGACAATACCCTATGAGCATCTGATCGCTCCGTGTCCTGTCCTGTGTCCAAGTCAGCGAAAGGGTTTCTCGCGGCGTTCGGCTGACGCGAGGTTTGATAGGGTTTAAAGATTTGAATTCACGTTCGCCTCCTGTGTCTTCGAATCTATCGTAGCAGTCTTCGGATTACTGATCTGTGATTGCACTCAGGGGGGGACCAACTTGAGATCGGTTGAGCGACTGTCTGCGATACACAAAGATTGGAGAAAGGCAGAAAACCCGCATAGACACGGAAGGGAGACTAAGATCGATAGAGACGTCGACAAGGAAAGGATGCGCAGCGAGAGAGCCTGTCTTTAGCTCTCTGTTTCTCCATGTGCAGATCCTGCGGATGGTGTTGTCCATTTCGAAATTCGCAATGTGACCCATTAATAAAACGGCACAAAAGAAATTTAAGAAAAAATTGTTCGTGTCGGCGAGAGGAAGATTGGCGAAAAATGTGAAAAATTCGACGAATGTTGAGGACATTTTACAGATACAGAACCGAACGTCGAGCGAACTGCACAACGTGACTTACGCGGAAAACGAATAAACAAACCGAGCACAATACAAATTTATTCGGCGAGAAGAAAGTCCATGTGCAATCCAGAAGAGACACGGTTCGTGAGAAACCATGTTCTCGTGTTCGACAACATCCGACTGAAATCCTTATATCGCAGTTCGTGAGAGAGACAACAAATTGACAACAAGTGAGTAACACTTCAAGAAAACATCTGAATTGACGACACAATATCGAAGTGCGTGTCGCAACATTCTCGGGCTGCATTCGCGGGTTCCGTTTCGTTGGTGACCACTCGCCCCGATCACATGGCACACTCACATGTCCACGTGACAACTCCTGAACATGCGTGGCGACGATCAGATAGAGCCCCGCATCCATCAGCGTGGCCACGCTTGTTCAGGACGTGACACGTGGATGTCTGAGTGTGCCATCTGATCGGTGCGAGTGATCGCCAATGAAACACATGCATTCTTGCTCCCGAAACTCCTTCATCTCGCCCCGATCAGATGGCACACTCACACGTCCGCATGTCATGTCCTGAACATGCGTGGCCACGCNTCTTGCTCCCGAAACTCCTTCATCTCGCCCCGATCAGATGGCACACTCACACGTCCGCATGTCATGTCCTGAACATGCGTGGCCACGCTGATGGGTGCGGGGCTATATTCCAGCCTGGCATCCTTTCTGCTGCCTCATAGAGCCTCGCATCCATCAGCGTGCACACGCTCGTTCAGGAACTGACACGTGGACGTTTGACTGTGCCATCTGATCGGGGCGAGTGGCCGCCAATGGAACGAGATCTGCAAACACACCCCGAGGTACGTTCGCGAAAGAAACAGGCCAACGCATAAGACAAACGAAATAGAGGCGCTGAAGACAAACTAACAACGGGGACGAAGATGGTAGTTGAACACGACGGCACACACGTCCACGTGTCAAGTCGTCATCATGCGTGGCCACGCTGATGGGTGCGGGGCTCTATTCGACAACATTCTGTTGCCACATAGAGCCCCGCATCCATCAGCGAGCCCACGCTTGTTCAGGACCTGCCACGTGGACGTGTGAGTGTGCCATCTTATCGGGGCGAGTGGTCGCCAATGGAACTAGATTCGCGAAAGCAGGCCGACGGAAAAGACGAACGACATAGAGTCACTGATAGAAAACTGACGACGATGGTGGTGGAACACGACGCTGTTGATTCTGTCTCGTTCGTTTGTCTGCGCTTGTCAGTTATGTTCGCAAACTTTGTGCGAACGACACAGACAAGCGCAGTGAAACGAACGAGATAAAAGACAGAAAGAGAGATAAAGAGATAGCGAGAGAGAGAGAGAGCGACATAGAGGCGATCTCCGTCTTCATCACACGACCCAATTAATTATCACGATCAAATAGCCCCGAACGTCATAGACTCCCTATCACACATCGAACTCATGGAGAGAAATCCCTGTTGGATCACACGACACTGCTCGTTCGCGGCGACTGAACCCAATGTAATCGCCACCGCACGAATCCCGACTACAGATCGCGTACACGTGTGGGCACTCTGACGGTCTTTGCAAACCCAGCATGGCAGGACTTTTCAGGTCGGTGGAAATGACGAGAGAAAGAGAGAGAGGGAGAGAGGGAGCGAGAGAGAGCGAGAGAGGGAGAGATACAGAGAAAGAGAGAGAGAGAGAGAGAGAGAGAGAGAGAGAGAGAGAGAGAGAGAGAGAGAGA